ATTGAAAATAAGATGAAATGCTCGTCCCAGATTACACTGTTCTTAACGCATATTCTATCTATTCATAAAAAGTGTATAGTCACTCAATAACAACATAGAACTTCGTACGTGTATGTACATCAGTTCAAGTTGCCATACCATATTAGCACACAGACGCAACTGTCAGTTCAAATCCAACAGTGATAGCAATAATATAAGTATTAGCAGTAATGGAGAAGATTAGGCAGCGAAGATATGATATGATTCGAGAAGTGTAATTCAGTGAGGTAAATTTAGAAAGAGAAAGATAGAGGTAGTGATGAATTCAGAAGATTAGAATTTCATAGAACATAACAAGTGGATGCACGTACGCCACTGCAAATGGTTTTGAGCCATGTCATTCAGGGTATCTAACCATCGATTACTATCATCTCACGGGTCCCAACCAACATGACTCAATCCACTGGTTAGTGACTTCATGAATTTGTGCCATGTTTCGGTTAGACCGCTCCTAGCTTTCTTTCAGCCTATCCCTACACCACAAAACATAGATCGTCGTGGAAGTCAGTGGTTAGGCATGAGCAAAACACATCCCGATAACCTCAACTGATGAAGTTTCAATACTTCATCAGTTGATCTGCCATCCTCATTTAGTATCCGTTTCCTGACAACAGTATTGCTTACTCGTTTGTCCCAGGGTATACGAGTAATGATACTAAGACACCTATAGTCGAAAACCAGAATATCCTCTACTCTTACTGGCCATGTTTCACGGTCATAAAGTAGGACGAAACGAACTGCTACGCAGTAAACCTGTTCATTAGTTACTACCAGACAGATAACTCACCTATGCCATAAGTGACACAATTTGGCAAAAGCTATTCGAGCCTTCTGAATCTGTGCTGAGATTTTGTCACACATATCATGTGGTATCAGCACTACTAATAACACTCCAAAGATATAAGACATGTACACCTATGATCATCGTATAGATGATGGGTTATGAAGTTACATGCTTGGCTAAATAGAATAGTTTAGTACTAGAAGAATGGACAGTTGCCTAATACTTCTTGGCTTTCAATGATCCACTAATTAGAATCGATTTGTGTGATATAATGTACATATACAAGACTTTCACAACTAATAATTACAGACTAGGTGAATTATGTCCACGGAAATCAATTTTCTTATCATGACACCATGGAATACTTTTATTGTTTGAAAATTAATCAATGAAATATCACGAAACCTGTTTGATTAATCGATAGAAATGTCTTTTTTTAGATCGATATTTTAATAGTTCATGTGAATTGATAACTGTTTTGTTGAATAAATTACTCCTTTTTGAGATATTCTTTGAAAAGGTTAGTCAGACAGACAGACAGATACAACACAGAACTTCGTATGTAAGTACATCAGTTCAGGTTGCCATACCACCACATCATCAGTTCAAATCCAACAGTGATAGCAATAATAGAAGTATTAGCAGGAATGGAGAAGATTAGACAGCGAAGATATGATGCGAGAAGTATAATTCAGTAAGATAAATTACTAACTGTAGCGGCTACCATGACGTGGTCGGGTTTGCCTATCGTGATGATTCAACCGAGCTATACTGACTGGAACATATGTTCCTGAAGGTTCTACCATGCCAGGCAGGTCGATTGGAGAACGATGAGACTAAACGCAGCTACCCAAAGTCTGGGGGCGAAGTCGTACTGCTGACTGCAGAGGGGTGTGACAGCAGTAAGGTGTTTCCTTCGGACAACCAGCATCTGCAGCGATGCTGCCTTCTCACAAGGAAGGAGGGGTTAGAAAAGGTCAACCCTAAAATTGTCACACCTCACCATACCTCTTGGCATTCCGTCTCCGGAAGTAAGGGTGATCAATAAAGACTTTCAAGAGCGGAGCTAATACTCTAAAAAACCTCCATAAAATGGCCGTGCGTCACCAGCCTCAAGCAGCTGTCCCTTGGGCTCAGCGATCACGCAACCAGGTCTCCAAAACCAACACTAATCTATCTTCCTTTTCAGGTTCCTCAAGAAACATCTTACCATGTTGTGGGCAGCCGGGAAGTGACATCCGCCCTCATACCCATAACAGCACACGCGACCAAATTATGATTATCAAATTGGAACTTACCGGTTGCAAGCCTAGACTATCTTTATCACCAATTCCCAAACTCTATAAAATAAAAACAAAAAGTTAACAGGAGAATATTTAAGAATATTAAAAATTTCCATTGTGAAAAATAAGAACAACACATCGAAAGCGAACAATAGTGTTGTTTTTAATTAGACCGTTATCATGCTTTACTCTCTGTGATATACATGAATATTGATATGAAAATGTTACACCAATCAAGGCAATTTATGAGTCCGCCTGTAGACCCTCCTGGGCTACTGCCGGTCCCATGCCCGGATAAAGGAGGATGGTTGGGGTTGGCGAACCCATCCCGCAAAAAACCTAACTCGCTAAAAAAACGCTAACAAGGAAAAAAATAATTCAAACCATTTTAACTCTGTCCTGGTGTGGCTTGAGCTACTTATAAGTAGTATATGACGTGAGTGTCAACGTAATGTCTGGCAGCAGAAGATGGGGGAAGATCAAGAAAGGAAGAGTTAGAAGAACACAATGGAATTTGTATGAAACGCATGAATAGTAGTGACAATGGATTGATGTTTTGCAACAGGAACAGTCCAATTCGATATGATGAACTGATATTTTGCAAATGAACGGTTTATGATGTGGTTTTCCTATGTTACTGAGTAACTCTGTAATTTTCGTTAAAAACACAATTCGGTTGCCCCACCTGTGTTCTCGTTCACTATACTGGGAGTTAGAGGGTCTTTATTTAGAAGAGTTGTGACGTCACATGATGAAAGCCGAATTCCTTCAGAAGTCAAGAGGCCAATGTCCCTTTGTGACAACCAGAGCCTTTCCACGGTGTAGACAGCCTAGAAGTAACATCCGCTCTCATACCAATAAAACAACACGAGACCAAATCTGTCAGAATCGGTCAGAGTCAATAATAATCACAACGAAGTAGAGATTGCATCACTACACACATAATATTTTGGGGCAGAGTTTTGGAGGTTTGCGTTTTTACACATTTGAAATCATCAATCTATCATTGTTAGACCACCATTAGAAACCTGGAAGCATTGGATGGCCGTTTCGTCCTCGTATGGGACTCATCAATGGCAGTGCTCATCCACAACTCCTGCTCCTCGCACGATTCGAACCCGGGACCTTCGGCATTGTAGGCGAACGCCTTACCATTAACAGTCATTTCACTTCATAGATTGGCACTACATTTGACTTTGTATTCAGCTTACTTCTTCACATCAATCAAATGGAAACTGAACTGCTAACTGTTTTGATTATCGTGATTGAATTCAAAACGATTACGTCATAGCAAGCAATGACCTAAAGAAACTCTAGTGACAGATGGATATAAACAATGCAAGTGGTTCTGTTGCAATCTTAAACGGTTATAATTATCCTAGATTTTATCAATCCGTGCCACGTATCATCAGCTACGCTACTCATATTCAAGGCAATCCATCACCGTAGCTGCTATCTTGACGTTGGTGGTTGGGCTTGTCTCTGGTGATGAACCAACCAAGTTATATTGGCTGGAACATACGTTCCTTTAGATTCTACTAATCCAGACAAGTCGATTGGAGAACGATGAGACTAAAAGCAGCTACTCAAGGACCGAGGGCGAAGTCGTCCTACTGACTGCAGAGGAGTGTGACAGCAGTAAGGTATTTCTCTCAGACAATCAGCATCTGCAGCGATGCTGCATCATCACAACGGAAGGAAGGGGTTAAAAAAGGTGACACATCTCATCTTACCCCACGAATTTCTGTCTCTCATGGTAAAGCCTTTTGAAACGCGGCGCCAACACGTTGACTTCTTATAAAAAGACCTTGCGCGACCAACCTTAAGCAGTCATCCCTTGAGCTCTACGGTTACTCTCTCAGGTCTCTAAGACCGACATTGATCCAACTTCCTTTTCGGGCTCCTCAAGAACCGCCATTCCATGGTGTGGGCAGTCGGGATTTGACATCCGCTCTCATAGCCATTACAACCCACCAAGTAATCCATCATATCTCAGACACTAAACGCACACACACACACACACTAAACAGGATAAAATTCAACTACAAATATTTTACAACATGGTCTACAAAATATCATCAAACTCATTAGGAACATTGAAAGAAAATGGTGGTAGTGGTACTAGTATTTACAAAAAAATGCTGATAATAACAACAACACATACTTCAGCAAGTGTTAGAAATTCCGTTAGTTTTGATAATAAACCTGGGAAAGCATGATATAAGTCTAAGCCAAGTCGACATTGTTTTCGTTTTAAAGTGAAATATTTTTCTAGAAGACAGAGAAAAAAATGAATAAATCAATCAATAATTAATTAATTAATTAATTATGACGATGTTAGGATATTCACCAAATATCCTAAGAGTACTATACTATTTTTAGAAGTGTAATCCCATTGGTCGAAATTATGGTCGTTTTAACTGTCAAAGTCAAATACTTCTATCTTGTCTCTGATTGGTCATCTGGACTGTCAATGTCATTCAAATGTTCTTTTCTATTGGTCGGCCTAAACTGTCAATGTCACAGACGTCGATGCTCTTCCTTATTCGAACTTAGTGTATAAATACGCACTATCTGAAAGACTGAATAATTCCGTTTCCCTGCCTGTCTCTCTTCTGTACTCGACCCGATAAAAAACTCCATCCCACGGTGTTGCATTCTGATATCTAGGAGATAGTAGTATTTGGGTCGTATTAGAATATTTAAATTTGAACGCCGCTAGGACTGAATAGCTACACGTAACAGCGTTACAACAATCGACTAGGCACACAGTTTGACAAGTTGGTAAAACACTCGATTTTTATTCAAGTGACAACAAGAAGCTCATGTTAAATTGATGACTAACTGCCATACAACTAACTAACTTCGAATCACTTTACATACAAAAAAAATAGTGTTAGGATATTTATCCAATATTCTAAGAGGATTATTATTGGTCAATTCTTATTGGTTAATTCCTAATGGTCAATTTTATAGTCGTCCTAGTAGATATCAATGTCACGTACTACAATGTTGTTTCTTATTGGTTGTCTTGACTATCAATGTCACTTCAAATGTTACTTCCTATCGGATTTGAGTAGCATATCGTATCGCCGGATCCGTATAGTCGGACTACCGACTATCAAATACAGTAGAAGTGGATCTCGAACTTGTGATTTTATGCGACGACAAGGTTACATGCATAACGTACTAAGAGTCAGTCAAGTCAATGAATTGATTTACAGAAGGAATAGTGAATCCGTACAAACTAGATTGGTAGATACGTATGTATTTTCCACTCATATAACCTAAAAACCACTGGTGTAAATTTTTAGAAATATCATTAAACATCAGAAAGAGCGTGAAATCAGCGGAATCGGACAACATCGCAGCAGATGCTCTGAAAACAGACGTAGCAGTAACTGTGAAGATACTACTCAACATACTCTTCCGTATGTGTTAGGATATTCATCCAATATCCTGAAAGAATTATTATTGGTCAATTCTTATTGGTTAATTGCTACTGGTCAATTTTAAAGTCGTCCTAGACATCAGTGTCACGTACTCTATGTTGATTATTATTGATCATCCTGACTATCAGTGTCACTTCAAATGTTGTTTCCTATTGGCTGTCTTAACTGTCAGTGTCACGGACTTCGATGCTGTTTCCCATTCGACCTAAATGTATAAATACGCATTATCTGTAACGTTTTATGACCACGACCAGGACCAGGGTTCGGTCCCGGATCCCCAGTCCGAGATCCTGATTCTCTTCTGCACTCAGACCTCGGACTTTCTGGATGTTTGTAGAATACAGGTTCTACTTCACATTCAAGTCTTCTTATTTTTACTCAATATAAGGGTTGGGATAATCGGATTTGACAGTAGCATGTCGTGTCACCGGATCCTCGATCCTCGCCCTCGTTTTCCGACATAGGTAAACTCGTAATAGTTCAAGTATATCAAGTTGACGTGTTTACGTGCAGGCGTAACACATAGTGAAGGCAATGTGTTAAGTCGCTTAGATTTAGTGATCACATTGGCACTTGAAAGACGTAACATCTGTCACTATTCAATGATCAATCAATGTGTAAACATCTCAATCTTGATGGAAAACAGTTTTTAATCGAATAATTCAGAGGTAACATACTTCAGTCTGTGAAATTGAATGATGCCAGTTTGAATCTTGTATGAATCATCAACTCTTTCTAAACTGCATGAACGTCTTATTGAAGATTGTTAACTAGCATGAAATCTAGGTTGATAAAGATTTTCTGCCGATTGTCTTTGATCATCGAGAGTTAGGAATACTCTACTGGAGGTGGTCAGTTACAACGTAGAACTTCGTATGTGTAATTACATCAGTTCAAGTTGCCATATGGCATTAGCTTACTTAATTACTTACGCCTGTTACACCCCCAATGGAGCATAGGCCGCCCACCACACTTCTCCAACCAACTCTGTCCTGGGCTTCCCTCTCCAGTTCTGTCCAATGTTTGTTCATTCCTCTCATATCTTTCTCTATTTCTCGTCGTAATGTATTTCTTGGCCTTCCTCTTTTCTTTTTATTTGGAGATTTCCATGTGAGAGCTTGTCTTGTGACGTAGTTGGGTAGTTGGGCAGTGTTTGTCCTATCCACTTCCACCGCTTCTTCCTGATTTTCTCCTCCATTGGGATCTGTTTTGTTCTCTCCCACAGTTTGTTGTTGCTGATAGTGTCTGGCCAACATATCCGAAGTATTTAGCGTAGACAACTGTTAATAAACACTTATATCTTCTGGATGATGCCTTTGGTAATTGTTGACAGTTGTTTTGAGTTTCAGATATTTTTCAATTGTAGAAATGCAGCCCTCGCTTTGCCAATCCGCGCCCTCACATCTGCATCGGATTCACCTTTCTCGTCGATGATGCTGCCAAGATATGTAAAGGTGTTAACGTCCTCCAAGGTATCTCTATCAAGAGTGATTTGGTTGACGCATGTTGTGTTGTATCGTAGAATCTTACTTTTATATTATGTATGTTGAGACCTACTGCTGCTGAAGCTGCCGCTACACTGGTCGTCTTCTCTTGCATTTGTTGTTGCGTGTGCGATCGAAGAGCCAGGTCATCTGCGAAGTCCAGATCGTCCAGCATTAGCGCAGAGACGCATAGTATTAGTATAGTATTAGAGATTGTAGAAGTATTAGCGGTAATCGAAAATATTAGGGATCGAAGATATTAATCAAGAAGTATAGTTCATTGAGATAAATTTAGAAAGCGGAAAAGATGAGGAATTCTGAAGATTAGAATTTTTGAGAGAACACAAAGACTGGATGCACTTGCGTCATTGTAAATTATTTCGAGTCATGTCACATTATTCAAGGTCTCTAACCATCGATTATCATCATCTCGCGGACTCCAACCAGATAGTCGACAGTTAGCAACATAACTCAATCCAATTGTCATGGATGATCAACAATGTGAAAATCCTTGTAAAATAATGAAATAGTTGCATCAACACATTCTGACATTTACTATAGTTGTCTAACTTAAGTCGTAATGCGAAATGTAAAAGCGTGAGAGAGAGTGAGTGTGAAAAACAACAATAATAATTATACTAGATTGATGACATAAAACAACTTACCTATTAAATTAATCATACCCTCATTATATGAAGCAAATAAACGAATTAAATCTTTATATAACAATAAGAAAGCAGCATTAATAATTGCATTGTTCAAATCTTTTTCTAGAGCCTAAAAAAATAGTAAATGATGGATATTTAGCAATAAATAAACGAAAATTTATGCAGAAATATGCGTTCTCCAAGTTCTAGTAAAAAGTCGTGACCGGTGGAGTTCAACCCAGTTCGGGTGTGAAGCAGTTCAGTCAGTCAGTCAGTTGCAACGTAGAACGTCGTACATAAGTACATCAGTTCATGTCGCCATACCACATTAGCATAGAGATGTAATTGTCAATTCAAATCCACTAGTAGAAGAGTTAGTAAGGGTATTAGAAGTAATCGGAGAGATTAGGATTAGAAGATATTATTCAAGAAGTATGATTCAGTGAGAAAAGTTTTGAAAGTCAAAACTAGAGGTATTGAAGAACACAGAAGATTAGGATTTGAGAGAACACAAAGAATAAATGCACCGGCCAGCCATTGCGAACGATTTTGAGCCATGTCATTCAAGGTCTCTAACCATCGATTATTATCATCTCGCGGACCCGAACCAGGTAGTCGACAACTACCGATATGGCTAAGTCCACTTGTCAATGACTTCATGGATTTCTGCCATGTTTTGGTTTGGCCACCCCTAGCTTTCTTCCAACTTATTCCTACATCGCAAAATATAGCCCGTCGAGGCAGTCGGTGGTTAGGCATACGTAACACATGTCCTAACCACCTCAACTGATGAAGTGTCACTACTGCGTCTATTGATCTGCCATTCTTACCTAGCACCCGATTCCTAATAACAGCGTTGCTTACTCGGGTGTCCCACGATATACGAGCAATGCTTCGAAGACACCTATGGTCGAAAACCAGTAACCTACGAATATCTTCTACTCTCACTGGCCTTGTTTCACAGCCATAAAGTAAGACGGAGCAAACTACTGCACAATACACTCGTCCTTTAGTCAGCAAACGGATATCTCGCCTACGCCATAAATGACGCAGGTTGGCTAAAACCAATCGAGGCTTCTGTATCCATGCTGAGATTTCGTCACAAACCAGGCCATCGGCACTGATGAGACTCCCAAGATAAGTGAAGCGGTCAACACGCTCGACTACTTCACTCCCTATCACTAGTTCAGGTGCCGATGCAACCCAATCTTGAAGCAACATTTTACGTTTCGACAGGGAAAACAGCATCCCGAACATGCTTGCATTGTTGTGCTTAGGGTAGTCAGAAGACTCTGCATTTTGTCAGCGTCTTCACCAAATAGAACTATGTCATCAGCAAATTCCAAGTCAATAAACGATTTTCCTGGTAGAAGGTCTACTCCTGAAAATTCAGATGAGGATAATGTTATATCTAGGAGCATGTCTATGACAAAATTCAACAAGAATGGAGAGAGTGGGCATTAGGATTATTACACAAGCTGTCAAATGAACAACCAAATATGCTTGAATATTTTCAAAAAATATTTTTTTTTGGAGAAAAAATGATTTCACAGTAAGGAAAAAAAAATTCCAGAATTACATTCATAAATAAAAAAAATCAAATGACTTACATCAAATTCTAATAAAGTTAATATTTGCGATTGCATAACAGGAAGAGCTTTTAATAACTAAAAAAGTAGGAAAAAGAAGAAACAGATCGAACAAATTATCAAAATCTACAAATCGAATCATGTTTATGAAAGTTTATCTTGAATATATATATTGGGTTCGTCACTAGGTATGCTTGAGGCTATTACGAGTTTACCTTAGTCGACGATAAACGCGAACGAGACTTTTACCAGCGTCCAAGTAGGCTACTTTGAATCCCAAACTAAGGTAAGAAGGCTTTGTAAGCGTAGAAAGTATATTCTACAAACACCCAGCAATCACAGTACAAACAAGCATACAACTCTCGTTTATTTATACATCATAGAAACATCCTTGGGACAATCACAAAAATATCACACTAAAATACACAGCAGCCAATCACACAGCCATGGATTTTCCTGGTGGGAATTGAAATCTCAAGGTCAACTGATCAGCCCATGTTGGCAAACGTGAAAACCAAAATAAGGCATTTGTCAAGCGAATTTCGGGGATCTAACATCTCTAACACTCCTCCCCTTTTTAATAGCGTGTTCTCCTGGGGATCTCCCAGGATCTAACATCCCTAACAATATAAAACTCAATCATCGTCAAACATCTTATGAAAAATGATCATTCAAATAATGAGAATAAGTTATACAATTTTTAACTGTTGTTCACAAGATGCGTTGTTTCGTCGGACACACAAAAAAACAACATTTTTTCACAACATTAAATTCATTTTACACAGTTTAAAAATCCCTAGAGAATAAGTAGTTGAGAGAGGAAAAAAACCCCAGAGTAAACAATGAACTATTTTTAAATAATACACTTGAAAAGAACATTTAAGGAGATATACATTATGACAAATAATTTTTTCTTGAAAGCTAGTTGAACTTAGATCGATTAAATTTATGAAAGAACATTGTTTTAGCTTACTAATAATCAATGGGTAATGACAAATATTTGACGTGTTCAGTTCTTTTCTGTGCTGATTACATTCTGTAGGTCAAGTTGGAGTGTAATCCTTAGTTCAAGTGACTTGACATGGTGTGCATCATGTTGTTGATGTACAGTGGCCGTTAATATTATTATTATCATCATGGTTATTATCGTTTGGACAAATGAACACAGACACAAAAGGATACTAAAGAGCGCAGATGCCACGAGAATCATTAGGTTTGTGAGTGGTCTGAGTTCAACTCCATACCACTCTCATATTCACGGTCACAAATAGTACCACTGGACTAAGCGGACCACAACTAACTTCCTGTAAGATATGTATATATTTATAACAACGGACTGATCAGTAACTAGTGACCGGAAACATATACGTCAAGTACTTTTCATTACTGACTGGATTTGATAGATCAAGTTGCAATGTAGTCAAATATTTCAAATATTTTCCTGATGGAAATTTAACAGTAGTAACAACTTTATGCTTAAAACTTTTTGACTAATCCAGAACACAAAAGTGTGCAAAGCTTTGACAAGAGATAACATTACCATATAAAAATCCTATACTAAAAACGATCTGCCACTTGAAATTTTGAATAGAATCGCGAATTTGGAAATCCTGGAGGTTCATAACATAGCACTGTCTCGTACAGTAGTAGACTTGTGTGCGATTTTTCTCCCAACCGAATCAAATATGAATTAAGGCGGCTGGTAGATGAATAGACGAAATGGTGGATCTTCATCAGTTGAGGTGGTTGGGGGCATGTGTTACGAATGCACAACCACCGACGAGTGATGTTTTGTGGTGTATGAGTAGGTTGGAAGAAAACTAGGGGCGGCCAAACCAAAACATGGCACAAATGCATGAAGTCACTGACAAGTGGAATGAGTCAAAATGTTGATCTCGAATGACATGACTCACAATCGTTTGCAATGGCGCAGATGCAACCATTCTTTATCTTCTCTTACATCTTAGACTTCTGAATTCCTCTTAAGCTTTATCCTTCTATTTTGAAGTTTATTTCAAAGGATTGTACTTCCTGAATAATTTCTTAGGACCGTAATCTTCTCCATTATTGCTGATTATATTATATCTACCACTACCGGATTCGAATCGATACACGCACCTCTGTGCTAATGCGTTATGGCAACCCGAACTGATGTACGTACGTACGAAGTTCTACGCTGTAACTGACTGACTTTTGTCTCATGGACCCCAACCAAGTAGTCTACATCTACCAACATGACTTAGTCCACTTGTTAGCGATTTCATGGATTTTGATCATGTTTTGGTTTGACCGCCCCTAGTTTTCTTCCAACCTACTCCTACACCACAAAACATAGTTCGTCGAGGCAGTCGGTGGTTTTAATCCTCTTACACTCAATTTTCTATCCAGTTCAGTTGCTAAATTTTGTTTTGAAGGTGCTTTGAGTCTCAACCATTTGCACTTGCATAATTACAGATTCAAGATATTTTTAAACAACCCAAACAACAGTACGTGTAACTTAATAGTTGAAAGCCTGGTCATTTACGGGCTTTAAATCTTTATAGACACTTTTTACCGTAATTTTCTATGCTTAGAACTGGATGTCAAGGGTTTCAAGTGTAGGGTATCAGTTTAAACGTCTGGTATGACTGACTTTATAGGTAAAATGAAAATGGGAGTGGCGAAACTCAAAAAAATATTTACATTAAACAGTGAAAGATAATCTGCACTGAGGAAATAATTGTTAGACCACGTCTTTAAATGTATAACACATAAGTGGTGTTTATAAACAGCGACTAAACAACTTATGACCCACAACACATAAATGTTGCACAACACAGATTACCTTATCAACTGGCATTGTACGTAAAACACCATCATCACGCCTAATGAAAACAAAACTAGGTGACCATACAAGCATAATAATAATAAGTTCAAAAAATAGCATAGTTAAAGAGAAAACCCGGATAATCATCTAAATCTCAGGATCCGATCAACCCTATTGTTTAAAACAGTATAGAGAAAACTAACAGAATGAATGTCACATATTGAAAGCGATAACACGTTCAATAATGGGAATGTAAACACGAGGGGTATGAGAATAAGAATCAACAAAGTCTTATCGCACTAGATATAATATATAAACAGTTTATTGTCATTACTAACCATTTTCAGGTCTTTAATTGAACTAGTAAAGGTGCTAACTGGCCTACCAACGTTTTGGAACTAATTGGTCTGAAATCTTGATATGGCAAAAATCCTAACGTTATTACAAACTAACGACACTATTTTGAAATAACATTATCAGTATACCAGTTTATTAAGAGCTTTAAATATCCTACTCGGACCAGTAACTGTTACAACTCTAATAAATTCAATAACTTTATCATGAGTACGGTTCACCGATTGACTTTTTTTCGCTCGCTCCTCGTTTGTTTTCATACGGTTCCTAAATAAAGGATAAATAAGGTTGCAAAAGTTGGGAAGTTCTGTTGTAGGGTTCACCTACGCTAGTTTCCTTTCGAAACTATTATTAGCATTTATAGTGAAGTAAGGCATATACACCGTAAGATACCAGCTCGGTAGCCAATACGATAAGCGTTCGCCCGCGAGACAGAGGGTCTTCCGTTCGATTACCGCTGGCCAAATTATGGATGTGCATCGCTGAAAACTCCCAAACTGGGAGGAGACAGCCGTCCAATGCTCTCATCCTTCTAATGATGAACTGATTCATGATTTTAATGAATACAAAAAGCCATCGAAAAACTAATTCCTACTTAAAGTGTGGGACCGAAAACGTCAGTAAAAATAAAACTCAGACAATCAAACTCGAAAAAGTATTTTAAGCAAACACTTTGGCAACCAAATACAACTGACAATATTACTTGTATATAACCAGAAATATTAAATTATGAACCTACCCTCGCTTCACTTTACAAAAGTCGAAAGCCATAGCTCTATAGGAAGAAATTTTTTCCGCCAAATATTTTGAATATTTACGAATGAATATGGACATTTCATAAGCTAAAAATGTTACTACCATTAATAAATATACATACATTGTGAGCTCGTTTTATCATTAAAATGTGGAAGGTCAATTGGGCAGTTGTTGGAAGCAAGATAATGTGAGAATTTCTATACGGGAACAGTATAACTTTCTAATTTATGTTACCTCATTTCCAAAATTCATGAGATTGTGAGTAGTTATAAGTGCTTTGAAAACAATAACCCATGACTTTTCTTGGGTCCTTTCCACAAGAAGCCCAGCAAGTAGTGGAATAGAAACGTTAGGTTCATTACTGCAGTTTACGAGATCTATTTAAATTATTACTTCTCAAACTAAAGCATACAGTCAAGGTGCTTTTTCTTAGGAGCACCAATTTCCTCTGTGGTCGCTTTCGCTACAACTTTCCCTAGACCAGAACCAGCCAAACTATACTTTGCTTGGGTGACCCTATCCATTAAGCTCTGGCCTGTCCCACTGCCAGCTAGTTGCTTTACAACCTTGCTTGCGGCTTTAGCAGTCATTTGGATTATCAAAAATAGATTTTGATTTTCCCCCTTAAAGGCGGTTTGATATGGAGGTCAGGATTCAATGGGTTCAAATATTAATGGGTCAAGGATTATCTCAGCTAGCTTCTGTATATGCGCCACTAATCACTCAAAAGAATCGGGGAGATATATATTTGTATAAAGGTTAAAAACTAAGTGACTGGAAAAAGTGAGCTCTTGCATTTAAGTCATAATATTGGTAAAGAACTGGATCCAAGAGATTTCCAAATGGTCTACGAGTTTCCGCCTTGAAGAAAAGATTTCTTAAACCTCTAATTCTCAGTGCTCAGTGAATTTCTAAAAGCTACCACTGTTGTTACGTCAAATTTAAGTTTGTAAAGGATAGGAGACAGGGTGATTCGTGTTAATCTTGACAATGGTGGTCTCTTAGTTATTTCAACTTCATTTTGAACGCTTCAATAGACTAGGCTTCAATCGCAGTGAGGTTACGAGTTCCATTTGTTGAGTATTCATAGAGAGAATCGCTAACCAGCTGACAAATAAATTTTTCAATTATCATGCAAAGTTTTTCCTTTTCGAAAGAATATGTAAATTAGGGCATACCAGATGAAAATTCACCGATCGGTAATTTGAGGATTGTGATCAGATCACCTCTAATCCTTCTATATGACGAGAAAGCAGGCTTGGTTAAGATGCTCCCCTGCCATATTGAAGTTTCACGATTCCGGGGATCAAGTTATTTTCAATCGTTTGAAACTTTTCTAATTACCTACAGTCGTTTTTAGAGTGGAGTGGTAGCTTGTGTGTAATATTTAAGTTTAGGGCGGAAAAGTTCTGTATAAAAGTCAAGAATTCCTTGACGCTGACTCGGTTAAGGCCTTTCCATGCTGACGATAGGGATCTAATCCTTTGACTGCAATCTCACGTCATAGTTTTGCAGTATCCGAGTATCGGCTATTAAAGACTCCTTAATTCCGTTACACTGGAAACTTAGTGTATTGAGATGAATATTAGCCTTCTTCAAAAATATCATTTTTTTTTCATTTATATTTTGTACTCAAAATTTGATTTGGTCACTGGTTCTTTTGGATTTCTTATATATTTTTGTACTGAAACTTTGGATATTGGGCTCTGGAAACTTAAAAACGGTCGGTTCGTTGAGAAGTGTGTCGTAATTAGTATTAGAAGGGACCATCTAGGCTAATTATGAACAGACTTTTAGTACTTGTATCGGAATTTCGTTTTTTAGTTATTCGATTTATAAATTACGACTCCAATGGACTGAGTTTTTAGAGCCGGCATGTAACCTAATGTGTGCTAAATAGAAATAGGTAGCTCAATGTCATTCATAGTGTGTATATCTGTACTTTGTAGGCACTAAGCATAATAATTCATATAAAATCGTTTATAGTCAACTACCAAATTCTGGGATATTTAGATATTTCGAGGCTCGAAACTTTCACCTTCAGTTTTTTAACTTACCATATAAAGATATCATGAACAGTTAATAAAACGAATGGTGATAAGTGACAATGAAAGTCACTCACATACAGGAGGAATATTATTGCTCCCAAAACTGTGTTCTCAGCTGCTCCGCCATACAAAGTCTCCTGCTAAATAACCTAGAGTAAATCCGCACAATTTTGTGACACCCAACTAAGATACCCATTATCCATATGAATAAGTTCCCGCTCACCCAAAGCTACCTTTCTGAGCATCTGGTTGTATAAAATTGTGGCAACAGCCTTACTAAACGCGATGAAGACTACATCTATGGGCAGATTTGAATCATTAAGATCAATGCAATTTCCATGAACTATTAAGTACTTTGTCAACCATAAATAACTCTTCTTAAAACCAAATCGCTTGTGAGATTATTACTAAGTAGGTGTTGTAGTACCACCACCCTTACTGCTTCATCCATCACTCTAGATACTACCGAAGTAATATTCATGGTTCGATAATTTTCAACACTCACTGTAGGTCAATATTTGATTGTGAGGTTGATATGTGTAGTCTTCTTGTTATTAAGATAACACTGATCTCGAACCCACTCTGTCCTGGGCTTCCCTTTCTATTTCTGTTCAACAGCCGTTTATTCTTCTCATGTCTTGTTGTTGCGCGTGCACCAAAGGAGGCTGATCATTTGCGAAGTCTGGATCATCCAGTTGTATCCTGGCTGTCCACTGTATATCATGCTTCCCCACAGATGTTGATAAATTCAGTTGATCACTAGGATAGAGGGAAAGAGTAAGAGTAAGCAACCTTGCCTGACACCTTGAACGAGTTTTCAGCTTTCTTCTGTGAACGATTGTGCACATTAATCCATCATAAGAATTCCCATAAGATGTTAACTATCTTCTGAGGCACGCTATAGTATCGAAGATGCCTCCACAGTGTTCTTCCGTCCACGCTATCGAATGCTTTCTCGTAGTCAATGAAGTATATGTAGAGTGGTGGGTACCATTCAATTGATTGTCTCACAAGGATCCGTAATGTTGCAGCTTGGTCAGTAAACGATCGATCCTTCCGAAATCCAGGCCGTTGATCTCGAAGTTGGGCGTCTACAAAGTCCTTCATCCTGTTTAAAAACACCCTGTTGAAGACTTTGCCTGATATTGAGAGAACAGTGATGCCTCTGTAGTTCTCACACTTGATGA